CCAATTTCTTCGTTCAAATCGCTTTCCTCGTTATCCGCCAAAGCGGTTGCACAGGATAAATCGATGTGACACTGTTCATTTTACCGAACAGCCCTCGAGATTGGATTTCGTTTCAATTAAATTCTACCAACACTGTCACCGTAGCGGTGGTTGTACGGGACGCCAGACGGATCACTGTGTCCCTCAATTGTTGTATGAAATACTCTGTGAAACGTCGAGCATGATCGTGAATCGATACTCGAGAATGATTGGTAGCAGAGATGGATCTCGATACAAATCCCTAACCAGGGTCAAAGTATAATATAACACGTTGGATCTTAAACGACGTACACCTGTTTCTATCGATGCACAGCCATACGGGAGAGTATCGTCGAATCAATTCTGCGGACGAGACGAATCTGAGTGCGTGGAGATTGAAGATCGACTCGAAAAGGTAGTAGCAAATCATTGAAATCGACAGAAATAGAAGTTCATCTCGCTGTTTACGTGGCCAGACATTCGTCACGTGAATCGCCTGAACCCTATTTTCCTAGATAAAAAACGGAACGTGTCCTGAACTCGAGAAACGAGCTCGCTCCTGTCGTACATACGACGTGAACGACAAACATGCACGGCGACGTTTATCCGATTATATTCAACAAAAATATCCTGGGCGAGAGGTGGTAAATGAGTCAGCGGTATTATTTTCGGACGCGATCACGTCAGAGCCTGAAATATCGTAGAAAGGACGAGGGAGGAATGCCTGCATGCGCCCACGGACACGAAATTAATGAAGCACGCGGCATGCTCGACAATTTTTGTGCTTCCAATATCATTTCGAGGTCAGATCCGATTCGCCTATAAAAATTATTGTCAGAAGGGAAGACAGAGAGAGCCCCGTTCACCCGTGAACCAGTTTTTCCCGACCTCGAAACGGTTTTTACGTGAACCGAAATTCGAACCGAACCATCTCTCAAAGTCGGAACGATTCGTTACAGGGCAGGTCTTGCGAGTTCTTGCGCAACGACGGCTCGACCACAAGAAAAAAAAAAAAAATTGGATTTTCTAGGCACACGTGCGTCAATCGACAAACCCGTTGCAGGCTTGCACACGGTGAACACCGCGTGGCACGCGCACGAAACTCTCGGCTCCTTTACACGCGTCTCACGAATCTTCCGTAGATATAAAATGTATAAACGTCGGATCATCGTCGGAGAAAGTAACGTCGTAACGATTACGGTTCGCCGTTTGAAAAGCGTATCTGTCGAGTACTACACTACGAGAAGGAAATGAAAAAGTAAGCAACACCCGTCTCCGGGCGTGAACCATCCTGCGCCGCGTGCGTCTTCTCTGAAACGAGCAGTTCTCGACGAACACCTGTCGAGGCTCGCGGACGGACGGCGCGAGACGTCGATCATGCGTGAATTAGATAAGAAGCAATTTTACGTAAAGACGGCAGCCGATCGAAACGCGCTTTCCAGGATCCTGAGGCCGATGCAAATCAGCGGTAGGATCAGCTCCGATCTCGAACGCGCAAACAACGGTCGCAGATACAAATCATGCACTTGATCTCGCTGCATCAACAGTCATTAAGATTTCTAAAGGATGACGATCACGTTACGTATTAACGCGATCTTATCTTTGAGAATCGTCTATCGTGACTGCATCCACGCGAATCCTGTTATTCTCGACGCGCCTTCGTCGAAGCGGAAACATTTCGAGAGTCGTCGAATCTAACGGCGGGGTATCTAGAGACGACGATCTCCCAAATGTCCGTCGTTCACGCGGAGAAGTTCTCCGATCGTTATTTTCCGTGTAATTTTTACTTGAAAACATCAGATAATGGTCTAGGAACGAAAGACTGAAGGCTCGCGTGACGTCAACGGGGATTTCCTTTCGTTGAACGACCGTTGCTCTCGTCGTTCTCCTCTCAGGAAGGACGATCAAGTTTCCCATGCCGTTGTCACGCTCGCTTTAGAGAATAATTCAGATCCGGTTTCGCGCGCGGAACAACCGAGCCGCGTCCTCGCCTGCATAATTGATTATGAAAACGCAAAATAGCCACGCATCCGAGCGGAATGTGTACAAAGTACGCGCTATCGTTGGCGATCATTTTCCGCTTTACCGTTACCGACGAACGGAACTTACTCGCTATACGACGACTACGATCGACAGAGTTTCACGCTCGATTTCATGGTTGAAAATATTTCCAGTGGACTCCAGAACTCGCGAACGAGGAGAAGCCTACGTCAGCGATTTAGAGATCGAGCGGCATGGACGAAAAGGTGATCAATTATCCTGTGAAGGTCGCCCACATTTTTCGGCTCCAAGAATTTCGACCTGCACACGCTTAACAAAGAACTCTGCCAAGATGCATGCAAGTGGAATTCGGCTCTCTACCAAAATTTGAGCCATAGCCAATGGTTTGTTCGCGACAGGGAACAGACGCGCGCAGGGAATGAGCGCCCGAACCCTCGGCAAGCTCGGAACGGCGCGAGCCGTTCGGTTTCGCGTGTCGCGAGGATATTTTACTCGGACAGCCGTGTCAGGGATCCGCGATTACACGGTGGTGGCCTATGGGACAGAACCGCGTCTGCCACGCGAGCGCACCGAGGCGAATCTTGGTGTGCGCACGCCGCGTTCCACCAGGCTGCGATCACGCGCCAAATTGTGCAATCTCCCTCTTCCACCTCGTCCCCTCGTCAGCCTTTTCATCCTGAACCGCGGCAGACGCGAAACGCAACCGTGTCTACACCTCCGTTCATAAATGTTAGTACGCTCTCAAAGGATTGTCGTTCACCGACGGGTTCCGTGAATGAAGTATCATCGGACGAATCGCACCGTCGTACATCGTGCAACGAATCGTACCCAGGAATCGTGAACAGTGTCAAATCGTGAATTCTGACGATAGGCGCGTGACTCGTGAACGAGGGTGTACGCAACGGTGCTGAACGCGGCGACGGCGTTGCGTCACGGCGAAACGAAAAGTCGAAAGGACGTCGTCGTTACATAAAGTCCACGCGGTACCGTCTAACGTTGCGACGTCCACCACCGTCGTTTTGCCGACTCGGTGCTGCGAAAGGCGACGGACTCATGGTCACGAGTCATTCGTTTTCGTCATCCGTTCGTCTACTAGGGAATCGGTCGAAGAAATTTCGCTACGCCTCGATCGCTCGCGCGAACAATCAGCCTCTCCATTGACGTCCATCGGCGCGAGCCCCAATTTTACGCCCGTTCTCCAACCACGTATACATTTTCAAGAGGCCTTCGTATAAATGATCGTTCATCAAACGGATTGAACAATAGCTCTCGGATCGAGCGAGCATCGCGTCTACGAAACGGCGTTACCTGATCGTACGTAAATCATTACCCGCCGTCGTTCATCGTCCGATTGTGCTCGGGCAGGAGTCTCGGACGTTTAAAGATCAGACCATGGCTACGTTCGTAAATGGCAAAATAATGACCGCTACGGAGTACAATGAATTACGGATCAAGAGGAATTGATAGAACATCTTGAATGGCATTTCGAGCAGGCCGCGCTTCTGGAATGCACACGCGAGAGACAAGGGTGACCAAGTTGAATGTAATCGACTACGGTAACGGCCGGTGATATACATGTATATTTTGCACCGTTCCCTCGTTGATGAAACGCAGGAATACGTTCAATCAATGAGTTGTTCCGCCTGCGTAAAACGTGTCTGAATGAAATCGGAGGAAATTCATTCGAATTCACCCCGCCCGCGATCGTGAGAAAATCGATGTACAGATCAACAATCCCGTGCATCTGACGAAACGAGATGACCTCGTATCATCTGAATCGAATCTGTTTCGCAAAGCTGTTGCACGGGCTCGAGAGGCTCGCGCGGGTGCGAGGCGACCGATTGTTCATCTTTCGTTCCGCATGATCGATGGGTCACGGTCAGTTAATTTTACGATCTCGTTGAAGGCGCCGCGAGATAAGTTTTTCGCTGGTGCAATGACCAGTGACACCGTGAAACGGCGTCCTTGTCACAGTATTTAGAAGAAAAACGGTGATCCGAGTGAAGAAGTTCGGCGTCCTTGCGGCAGATCGGTTATTACTGTCTTTACCAGAATGCATTTGTGTAATCCTTCGGCCGATTGCAAAACGGCGATTGCGTCGATAGTTTCTGTACAGCGTACACGATGCTCGCGTTTACAAACTGTTGACCTACAGACACTCGATAAATGAAATTCTTCAGCCTTTACGATCTCGTCGGAATCGAGGCTCCGAATTTTTATCCAAGAATATACGCTCAGTTTGAAAAATATGTTTCCAACGAACGTATAAGGGATATGCGTTCAACTTTCGGTGACCGCGAACAATTTTGTGGATTTTTTATTACTGCACGTTCGATCCTGACCGGCGAGGAGCGTCAGAATTTCGATGGAATCGTAGTGCAACAGCAATTACCATGGTACGACGCTTTACCTGTCTACAGTAGGCCACAAAAGTATTGGCAAACGAGAGGGACAAAAACCGATGTCACAACGCTTGTTGTTATCGTGCAAAAAGTCGCGAGAGGATCGCTAATATTCACCGTGTTTTCAATTGCAGCAATCCGATCTCGACCTTGCTTATGCCGTTCGTTACTTTCGGTTTAGCAATTCTCCAGTGAAACGACCACGAACAAATTTACGCACCGATACTTTTCTAGCTTTACGAAATGATCTCTCTGACTCGTTTGACGGCTCCACGCGTGTCGTGGCACGAGCGTCGTACCGACACACGGAACAACGCCAAATCTAAACCTGATCACCTCTTCGCTAACGAAGATCAATATCTCTCGTTGTATCTCGTATCGTTGACACTGCGTTCTGCTTTCCTTGGTAGTTTGAGATAAGGCGAACATCGCGGGTCTCGAGAGAACGAAAAACGTGGTCGACGGTCGGTCAACGCTGTCACGTGGACGCTCGTGGCTACCGCGCGGAAATTCAAAATTACGCCGGTCTCGAATGGTAATCGAAACGAAATCGATCGTCGAACGCGACAAATGCGCGCGACGCTCGCGGCTACGTTCACACCGTTCCGTTTGTTCGTTCGATCGGCGGAGGTTATGGTAGTGTTTATCGTATTCAGAGAAACGAGATGAACATCTTCAGCAGACACCTGCTGCGAATTTTTAAATCGGACGCGGTGTACCAAAGTCAATTTTCTGTTCTCGGTAGAGAACTAGCTTACAAAAGTGCTTACTCGCTCGACAAACTCTACCCTACGAGTAACTTGAAACTTTTCACGCCCACCTTCGTAAGTTGCTCGTCGACGTGACCATATATTTCATCTAATCATAAAATAATGAAAGGATGACTTTTAGACTCCCGAAGATCCGAATGCAAAATTCACTGGGTACATACCTCTCAAGGATCTCAGTATCACTTACAGCCGTAGCAGCGGCGCCGGTGGACAACACGTGAATCGTACGAACAGCAAAGTAGATGTTAGATTTCATTTAGAAAGTGTCACTTGGTTGGCAGAGGAAGTTAAAAGTAAACTACGAGAACAGGTTCGTGGGTTTGTTTCTAAAATTCCAGAAAGCAGGTTGAAATAGCAAAACTATCGTCGTGGCGTTGTCGTTACAGCAAAAGAACAGACTGACCAAGGATGGTCATCTAGTGGTCAAATCCGAGGTAACAAGATCGCAACAGTTGAATCTAGCCGACGCCCTTCAGAAATTAAGAGCGATGATTTGGGAAGCCGTGAAACCACCCGAAGAGATTCCTCCGGAAACGGAAGAATTTAAAAGGAAGCAACGTTTGAGAGCGGCGAGGAAAAGGCTTTTCGAGAAACGAAGGAGGTCCGAGATCGAGCAATCCAGGCGACCCCCCAGAGATTTTTGATCCTCATCGTTACGCACTGTACATAGAACACATTTTTAAATAAATAATACTGCTAGAATGTAGAAATGTATTAATTATTCTGGTCCGTCTCAATGAATCGTTCAGTGACATTCAGTGACGTTCGAATGGTACGAAATGGATACCTCCTCGCTGGTCTTATCTACCCTTGCGCTATTCAGCGTCTCCTTGGTAACGCACCGAACGTAAATGAAAACACAACGCGAAACCACGAACGAAGCACCGTGGCGATTCGTCGAGACGGGGAAGCACGGCTCGGAAGGAAAATGTCATTTCGTGATTTAAGGAGTGCGTAAACTAACGTCTGCGACGATCGTTTCAAAACGGATACGCGCGTAATAACTGCTGTTGTGTCTGTGACAGATTTCACGGAGACGATGCGAGTCCTCGGCTATCCTAGACTCATTTCCGTTGGGAATTTTCGTTTGCCGAATTTTCCGCTGGTTGCGGAGATTCTTGTTTGGCTGGTAAAAAGATTCGATCCGGACGCGGATATATCTGGCGAACACAATACCGAAGAGGAACGTATCAACTTGATACGCTCCGTTGCCGAATTCATGGTAATCCCATGTGTGCAACGTCCGTATAGTTGTCGTTACGACTCCTTCTTAACGATTCCTTTATAGGCTTTAAAAACGAACGTGAAATTGAACACGAAGAAGCTGTACCAGGCCGACGGGTACGCCGTGAAAGAATTGCTGAAAGTGGCCACGTTGCTCTACGATGCTCAAAGCAACAGCAACAACGACGGCCCGATGTTGGACGATGATTATAACGCGATTAATTTCGACATCTCCGACAAGATAAACGAATTGAAGTCGACCAGACAATTGGCCAGTCAATTGACCGTGACTGGCGCGTCGTTGTTCGATTTACTGGGACGCGAAGTCGATCTGAGGGAGATTCGCAATTCAAAGGTCTCCAGACAGTTCGATACGTCGGAAATAGAGGCTGCCTTGAGAGACGTCGTCGGGAACGCGCGGAGGGAGATCGAAGATACCAAAAGGCAGATCGAAAGTGTCAAGGTATCGATCGTCGGGAGCTGCGCGCCTATACACGGTTTCCGAACCGATACCGTGTTTCGTTCGCAAAAGTTCTCCAGAACGATTCCTGATCGAATCTATCCGGTCGTCTCACAATCTGGTTTTTCTCTGGTTTTTAAAGGACACGGAACAGAACCTGGACACGAGAATCGAACGACGACGCGCCGAACTCGAAAGGAATCAAAAGAGATTGCAGACACTGAAAAAAGTACGTCCTGCTTTCATGGAGGAGTTCGAGAAGCTCGAGGTCGAGTCGAGAGCTCTGTACGAGGATTACGTTCAAAAATTTCGTTACCTCGCGTATCTCGAACATCTGTACGAAGACGCGGCGAAGACTGAGCAAGAGAGATTCGAAAGACGGTACGGGTGGCATCGCGTGTATGAAAATGAAAATTAATCCGGGAAATGGCGTTATACGATATCGCTAATACGCACATGTCGACAGGCAAGAGGCGACGCGGAAGCAGTTGGAGAAGATGAGGGCGGAGGACGCGAACTTCGAGAGCATGATGGAGGGGAACGATTCGATACTGGCCACGAATCTTCAGGAGCCGCCGCCGCCCCTCGCCGAGACGGAAAAGCGGAACAACATCGAGAAAACAACGTCGAATAGTCAATTGAAATCGGGTAAGGACATGGTATATAATCTTCTCTTTCTTTACATCTTTAAAAACGTACGATACATACACACGCTTAGCATATTATATTCGAATCGACGAGACTCCTCGGACTCCACGTTCGCTCATTCCTAAAGGTCGTTTACAATTACAATTTACTTGTTCGTGAACAGCTGGACGATCGTCGAGGATGCAAATATCGAATCAACGTCGGATCTACGGCAGTATGTCGGGACGACAGAGGGGAGCTATACGGGAATCGAACGATAGCGGTGGTTCAATGGACAGTGACAGCGATCTGTTGATCGACGGTGATCTGGACGACGACGATGACGACGATGACGACATATTGGACGATGCGGGAGGAGCGGAGATCGGGAATTTTGATTTGAAGGTCGGACAAGAGAAACGGTCCGTCAGTAAATTGGATCACTCGGACGAGGACTTTTAACGGTCGCCGGTGTACGAAAGAGGAACAGTTGGACAAAGTCTAAGATATACTGTCCACGTGGTCATCCTGTCAGCGCGTCCTTTTCGCACAGTAGTTCGTCCGAGTACGTCGATTAAAGAGCTTAGGAGGTTCCTCGAAAGGAATAGAGAACGGTCGGAGAACGTACGATTCCACGTACATCTCAAACGTTCATCGTCAAGGGAATCAAAATACATATCGTCGTCGTGTAATATTTATTAACTTCCGGTGGAGAGCGTCGACTCAGTGGCTCCTCAGCATCGATCATGCGTACACCACTCACGTCGTACGACGTCGTCGCGTGTACGCGAGCCTCGGTGCGTGTACACATATATACATAGAATGTACGTGCGCGTAAAAAATGTGACTTTACGTAAGAAATAGAAACGGTTCGTCGTGTTCATTGTCGTAACGCTTGAATCTGTCGATCTCTACCTGTAAGACCGAACACATTCTCTCCCTCTCTCTCCTACCGTTGTCAACGCGCAATCAACAATTAGGTACGTTCGTCCCCGAAAGAATAACCATCGTATCGACGCCGATGCCCGTCGCTCTCAGGCGAGCTGGGTGAGAAAAATGATTTGAAACGTGGAACCGACGCGAACGTCGCGAGACTGAAACCACCCTGGCGCAACGCCGAATCGCGTCGTAACGCAGTGGACGACAATCGAATAAAAATCAGCTGCGCGTAAACAGCTCTCAAAAACGTCCTACGCGTCTCTATTCGTGTCAGTAAATACTAGACGTTCTAGCTCTAGATACGTATTATACATACATGAACTACGACTAACTGTAAGTATCGTTCCTATGGATATGCGTACGTTTTTTTTTTTTATACGTTGTGCGGATTTATAGGTGTCGAGCAAAACGAAACGAAATATCAACGAGTCAACGATCGAATATCAGATGTATATCGCGTTACAGCCAGCAATGTAGACCGAAAACGTAGGCCAGACCTTACGATGTCTCGAGTTTCCGAATAAATTCCCGAGGATTCGTATCGTTGCAGATCTTCGGGAATCATTTTTCCGTACCGGATAAATATATGTATCTTCCTTCGTAGTCGAATACTCACGTAGACAGTGCTTCGAACAAAAAGAAACTCGTACGTAAATACGATACTGTATAAAACCGTTGAAAAGAGCACCATAGCGCAAGGGATGCAGGCAGGATCGGCCAGGAGGTTCGCTTTCCCGACCGATCTCGCGTGTCCTCTTCACACCCGTAGAAAAATATCATATTCGTCAGGTTCTCAACGAGTCGCGCCTTCTCGTCCCCACGCGTGCTAGCACCGTTCGCTCCGTCGACAGACGAGGCGGGGCACCGGCCACTCTTCCTCTCCCGACCTGATTCGATCGAGTTCGATTCGATCGCAAAAGATAGAGAAAAACGTGTGTATATGTGTGTGTGTGTGTGTGTGTGTGTCACGGTGTACGAATAATCACGAGTCTCGCCGGAAGAGTCGCGGTTCCGGAGCAGTCTGAAACAAGGACGACTACGGGTCGCCGTAGTTGTAGAAATAGGTTCTGGCCACCTTCGGCGTGCCAGTGAAATTCCCGACGTCCCAAAGGACGTCGACGATGGTCTTTTGCTACCTGACCGATTTCAGCGGGCCAGGATTGGATTGCGGCGTCATCACCGGCACCGGCTCCAGCTTCGGCAACGTACAATCGACGCTCAGGTCTGACCACGTGCTGCCGACGTTCTCGGCCAGCCTTTCCTTGTACTTGTAGGCCGTCCTATCGACCACCGACTGAGTCTTTACACAATCGTCGCCGCCGAACTCGCACACGCGGTAGTGGTGCAGGATCGCGGCGTCCGAGGGCACGTTCAGTACCCCGTGGCCGGGTATGAACTCCCAGACGAAGTGGTTGCCAGCTTCGACGACGTCCAGGGGCTTGCAAACGTACTTGGAGCGTTGCTTGTGCGGGTGCAGTTTCGTCCTGCGCCTGGTCTTCCTCAGGGTGATCAGACCAGCTTCTACCGGCGTGCGACTCGTCACCACGAACGGGTCGTCCGCCCATTGTAGGTAGAAGAACGCGTTTTGAAACGAATACGCTCCGGTGGACTTGGTATTTATGCGACTGCCCATCCACCTGAAACAGAAGATTTTTCGTACGACGTGAGACGGCTCCGTCGAGAAACACTTTTCAAGGTCTCCTCGAAAAGTCTCGTACCTGATGAGATCGATGATCGTGTCATTGTGCCTCGGTACAATGAACTCGTCGAGGTCCACCAACGCGACGTACTCGAATTTGTACATCGATCGATAAAGGCAATCGTTGAGAGCGGCGAACAACGCCTCGGTGCGAATCTCGCGCTGCGAGATCATGTCCAAATGATGCCAAGGTAACAGGGTGACGATGCCCTTGGCCTCGTAGTACTTCAGAGCGCATCCGGCCTCCGGGCCGACCGTGTCGTTGTACAAAGTCAAGTGGCTAACGCCCAACAGCCTGTGCAGCTCGATGAACTCTATCAACTGTAGCACCTACGACATTTTTACTCATCAACCGGAGACTCTCTCATACTTTTTTTTTACGATTTAATTCGCACGTTCCCTCGAATGATTTCGTTCCGCTTTATCGTGACTCGACGCGATCGACTCGCCACCTCCGTCGTGTCTCCCCTTATCCAGCGTAATCACGACCGGAGTAAAGAAAATAGAGGGAAGATCGAACAGCTGAACCGGGACACCCTCGTTAAACGGAACGAGTCCACGATTCGCGTTGGGGAATTAAAAAGAGTAATATGTGGCGAATCGATTGCTCGAGAATTTCAAAATCCAGTCTACGATCGACGACTCGAGTACCAACTCGAGTTGCCGGCGGAACTTACCCTGTTATAGTCGTAATGCAGGGGTTTCACGCAAACGGCCAACGTCACTCTCTCGTTGTTCCTCGTCTCCGGTCGATTCAGGACGAGGATGCGATTCGTCGGGTTCGCTTTGAGCCTGGCGACGACGCTCACCGTTTCCGGTATTCTGTCGGCGGTGGGCGACTTTTTGGGCAGCGGGCAAATCACAAAGCAGGCGCTGTACTTCAGATTCCAATTCTCTCTGATCACCTATCGGACGGAACCAACGATCACTGGTAACCAACGATTTCATCAAAAGACGATCTCTCTCCTACCAACACTGCCGCCACCACCACCATCACCAGTACTACCCCGGCTGTCTCATCATTCCGTGCAAGACCACCGATCCGTTCTACCCGGATCGATTAAAAGTAAACGAGACACGATTTTTACGTGGTCAAGCGTTTCGAAGCAGAGAAGAAATTGCACACGCGGTGCAAGTACGTCGCCTCTAATTCGTTCGACGTGCCGACGAGCGAGGAGTCGTAACGATAAAGGGAAAAAAAATGAAAAAAAAAAAAAGAGAACGAACCGCTGAAACGAACGAAATGTTACGTATTTAGAACGAATCGACTCGTACACGCACGCTTGTAGCGAAAGTTACGTTTTCGTTGTGTACATTTCTTTCTCGCGTACGTAATCGCTCCCTTCTCGAATCATTATGCAGATCAAGCTTTACTTCGCGTGTTTCTCCCTTCCTTGACACACCTTCACTTTAGCGGCTACTGTCACGGAGATGGTCGAGTTCCCTCCGTTCTCTGGTCGATACCAAAGACGACACCAAACGCGCTCCGGTCCCCTGGTCTTTGTAGCGCTTATTATGCGCACCACGCCCTGATTTTTGCCTGTCGGCGCGGCCACGCCGCCAACCCTGTCGTCGAAGTACGCTGAGTACACAAAGAATTTGAATCTGAGAATCGAAACAAAGAAAGACGATCTGTTTAGAACCGGCTCGCGCTCCCACCGTTCGGACTCGACGTATCCACTTGTATCGAACATGCAAAATCACGCACTGTACACACGTTTATGACGGGAAACGCATGTTCGACGGACTCCTTTTATCGTGCGAATGTCGCGTCGTTTACGTCTCGTTTCGGACGTTCCTCTCTAGTTCATCTAAAAAGTTATTATCGGCAGTTCGCTTTTATAACGTTTTTCTAATGGAATCGACGAGCTCCGAAATGTTAATTCTTATCGGCTCGTCCCGTAACTATACTTTTACGATACAAGGCTCGTGAACGTGTCGCGCGTGCAAGGACGACACGGAACACGGAACGTGTGATACAAATGGATACGCGCTTTGGAACTCGATCGTAAATTATGCTTGTTAACATAGTCGTGGCGCAACAGAACGTGCATTAAAGGTAACGAAACGAAGCGAGGAGGGAACGACGTACCCCATCCCGACTGCATCCATTTTTTGCCTCGTCGAGCTTCGAAAAAAAATCTAATACGATCTCGCCGCTCTTTACGCGAGAACTGAATTCAGTGTCGTAATGAAACGCGCGATGAACGAAGGAGGAAAATTTCAGCTACGTATAAAAACGCGACCTAAAAACGATCCCGCTCTCTCGCACTTTCTGTCTTCAACATTTTTCGTCGAATTTTCTGTGATCTTTCTCTTTACGACGAACAAGCATCTCGTTGAAATCCCATGCAAGAAGCGGAACAAACGAATCACGTTCTCGCGTGCGTCGTTCCGTTCGACGTCTCCGTTCGAACGGGAACACTTCGTTGGCTTTCTCGCGTTGGCGGTACACAAGCTTAAAAAAATGTCGAATGCAACTGATGGAACGAAACAGGAAAGCGAACGTTTAAGCGTGAATAATTACACGAGGAGCGTCCATGATCAGGGAGCGAGTCGGGCACACCTACCTGGTCTTCGTGACCGGCAACCATTCGGCGTCGGTGATCCTGAGCGTCTGATCCAGTCGCGGCAACCGAGCTTCCATGTCGGGCGGTAAGCTCGGTAAACCTCTCGGGTCCGGCTGTATCACCACCTTCTGTCCACTGTTGTCCCCGCGCATCAATAACCCGATATGATCGTCGAAGCTACCCTTCGATCCGATATAATCTTCCGCCTGTGAAACCCAAATCGGTTTAATCGACGTCGCGTACGACCATCTCTGCTCCGGTCGAACGTCTCGTTCAGACCGAACCTCAATTATTATTTATAGCTCCTGTGCAAAACAAAATGATCGCAGATCGAGGAAACGGACCGGACGGACGACGATTTACTTTGTGTCGACGACTATGTGCGCTTCGTTTTTCGTCTCGTTCTCTTATGGACGTTCTCTGCGAACGCGTAGAATTCGTAGCGAGAGAGCAAGCCTGATCGGGTGTGGATTCTTTAAAGTGTGAACCGTCGTCTCTCGCGGGACAGATGATCTTTCCTCGCGCGATGATCGACCGTCAGACTAGATTGCCAGATGGCAAGCGTCTTCCCTTACGAGCGGTAGTAAATCTCCTTATATACCACCGGCAGTTCTAAACATTGGGACGAATTTAACGTTTAAACGACGAGGCTCCGTCGTTGCACAATTTTTTTTATCCGAAACGTGAACCGCGCGTCGTTAGGGCGGTGCAGAATTTAAAACGCGCTCCGACCATTAGCGGTGTTAACAGCCACGACCAGCTTTACTTTTTCTTTCCTACGACGCATCGAACGCGACGTCGTGTATAAAAATGTTGGCCCGAGCTCAGCGACGGTCGTCGCATGGAACGGGGCTCGTTCAACGATTTCGTCGAAACCTGTTGCACACTGTTTCGTCGTTCTTGGATGAATATAATTGTTGTCTCTGTGCTTACCAATTCGTGATCGAAACGATGACCAATCGATATCTCGTTCGGAAGAACGAGAAAACACGGAACAAAGGGATCGCGATGAAAAGACGATTTCAGCGATGACCGACGGCTCGAGAAACTCTTGATTAACACAGCGAGGCGAATAAGTTCCGGTCGCGCTAATAACACAATCCATGGAAAGAAGTCTGGGAAATGCAAATCCTTTGTACTTACTTTGGGGAGACGGGAAGAGTTGACTGAGGGTGGGCGAAAATTCCGCGAAACTCCGCCCGGTAAAGTTTCGTGCCCGGCCACGCGCTTTCATTGTGCCCCCCCGGGGGACAAAATTCCGTGGTGCCGCCGTGCTTTCATCCAGCGCGAAGCGAACCGGCGACTCTTAATCGCCAGCCGAATTCCAGAACGCCACATTTCAAACGACGAACCGGAATTTTTTGGTCGGGACAACAGTACGTAAGATACTCGACCGCGCATTTCGTACGCTCGTAACGCGGGCCGATGAAACGATAGAATGGTCGTTATCGCGGGAAGAACCATGTTCTCACGATTACGATACTCGGTCTCCCGACGCGAGAACGATTGTATTCGGTAAAAAAATTGGCAGATCGTTGGGAGTCGAGTCGTCGTAAGTACGAGTCGCACGGATCTCGGTTCCGCGGGGTCGAACAAATTGCCTGTTTCAAATTTGAAACGGAATCGGCTTTGACGGACTGAGTGGATTTAACGGGTCGCCGGGCATTATAGTCGATTACTTTCGAGTCCTTGGTTCGTCGGTAATTAAACGGTCGATCGGCAAGGCGAATCGATACAAGTTTCATTTGAATCCGGAGCGTGGGGCGGCGGAACGAAATTAAAGATCCGATCGAACGAGCCGCGAGAGGAACCCATCCGTATTTATTACGACTCAATAGAATTCGCCCCGAAATGATGGCTCTCTCGCACTACTGTCCCACGGAGTCACGTGTACCATTTCTGCGAAAGCCATTTCCTCCGCTCGAGCGAGGCTACTTTTCCATCTCGGAAACCATCTGAGACCAATTTACCCGCTGAACTCGACGTTGTTCCGTCCCCCGTGGCCGGAAACGACACTTCGAAAAATGCATTCCGACACGAGGGGCGAGAAGGGGAGGGGGTGCGGTGGTTAGGAACGAAACATGGACGAATCGAGAGCGAACGAGAAAACGAAAACAGCGAGCTGGAGACATAGAGCGAAGTTGAAACGACTTAAGGATGTATTGGCTATACAGTCAATCCCAAAAGTTGATGTACCTTAGAAAAACGCATTGTCTA